TCGCGGAAAGTTCTCGTGCGCATCGCGAGCAGCGTTTCGTTTCGAAATTACGCGGTCGCCGGTTGATCGTTGAACGTTCCATTCATTCATCGGCGAACCGGAGTATCCTCTCGTACGATGTTTCCCGTCCCGAAGTCTTAAAGGCGCCCTTACACTTGGCGACCGCCTTGAATGGCCGGCCGGAAGTAACGAGTTATGACACTTGACGTGGAGACTTAAACGTTTAAGTGTAGCAGAGCGACGTGATCGCGTTCTGTTCTTCGGCCACGCCACACGGCCGGTGTTTACGCTCGCCTCTCGAAAACAGCTGGCCTGATTCTCGTCGACGGATGGCGGATCCTTGACGAGTCGTTTCAGCAAGCTCCAGGATTTTCGATCGAGCCTAATCGAAGTCCTGGCGGCATTTAATTCGATGACTGTACGAACCCTTTGCGTTCGAAGACGCGGAAAACTATGTTTTTTATATTTGATTAGTTTGTCTATTATGTATGCATAAACAATTTATTCCGATTCTGTGTTTGAGAATTTAAATCAATAATAAATGAAACGTAATAATTACACATGTTTGATTGTTAAGTATAGTTCTAAATGTTGTCGGTTCAAACGCAGAATTCAGTTTACTTAGTTTAGTATATATATTTTATTTTAGTTTGTTTATTTATAATAGCTTTGTATTTTGTACATATTTTGTATGTATATTTTAGTTTAGTTAGTTTATTTAGCTTTTTATTTTGTATATATTTTGTATATACCTAATAAATAGACGAATTAAATATAAAAATATAGTTTTCAATTTTGTCGTTTGTCAGTTTTCCATGCCATAATTTTCACTTGTATTTGCCTGCATATTTACATAATTGCGCAATAATATTAATAATATTTATTCAACGATAAATCGACATATTTCACATCGTAGAATTAGAGTCGAAACCAAAACATCCCCTATTCGTTTGTACACCAATTACGGGACACCCTGTATACCGAGAGGAGGACGGAAAAGTTTCTTCGAATCGAAAATTCGAGTCGAGTTTCTTGCTGTTTCGAAGTCGATCGACAATTGTTGGTTCGACTAGTTGTGTAAACAACCATCGACGGCGTCTTGTTGACAAGCTCGTGACCGGTCCCGAGTGGCGAATTCACGGTAAAGAAGTCCACTGCTCGGTGTCAGCGACGAGTATCGCGGTTTTACGAGCTGCTAGCAAGATTTCTCTCGACACGATCGAGCAGCATTTTTACCGCGGCTGGAAACTCGTAAATCGCAAACAAGCGTCGCAACGTTCACCGCGGCCCCACGACTGCTCGCGAATAGGGGAGATCCGAGGAGTGAGAAGCGATACAGTAAATTCTCCCTAATTGACGCACAGATTGTGCGCTAAAATGGCTAATTTGGGAAGAGGATAATCATATTACTATAATATATATTATTATTTATTGTAATATATTATAATATTATTATAATATATACAATATCTAATAATTGATAATATATAATACTATTATAATATAATATATTAAAATATTATAATATATATTGTTTTACATAATATTATATTTCCATTTTGTATGATTCGATGCAATTTATGCATACTTAATTAAGCATATTGGGGCAAATACAATACTTTCAGGTTTATTAGTTTTTTAAAAATATAAATGAACCTGGTGCTGCTACAATTGTTTTGGAAAACGGTACAACAATTCTCAGTGGCGTCTCAGACTCGTCACTCGAGTGCAAAGGGTTAAATGCAATCGCTGCAATGTCGAATTCACAGCTACACGCACCCTTAAATCATTGATGCTCTGATTCAATAGCGAGATACATCTAAATAACGAAATTTAAAAAAGAAAGGCAATGGAAATTTTATTTTCCCAATAATAATTTGGTTTTCGAAAATAATGAAGTATTATTCTCGCTAAATTGCCTACCAATCTATACTGAAAAAGATAAAATAAAATAAATATAAATATAAAAATAAATGTAAATAAAAAAATATAATAATCGCACCAAAATGCAGTAATAAAATTGCACCAAAATAATACCAAATTGCAATAATTTCATTTATTAATTACACACATTTCAGGTATCCTATTTAAGATGATTTCTCAACCCCTTAAGCGAAATTAAAAAATCTGTTCTATCGTTTACTGCTAAAATAAAAAATGCAGTACAATACTAACAAATAATATAAATAATAAATACTATAAATAATAAATACTTGATTTAGGCAACGACTTGATTTATATATAAGTCGCGGCTGTCGCGAGCCAAGCACTCGAAGGGTTGGTCCGTAACGCAACCATGAATCAACGAATCAGGAAAAAGTGTCCATTTAATGGCAGCCATACCCTACGCCGTGCCACGCGAATTTAAGACAGTTTCCTGGGAACACGTCTCTTGTACGTTGACACTTTGCTCATTGAACTGCGTCGTCGACGGGGTCCAATTGCCCGTGAAATTTGCTCCTGTCCATTCAATGAATCCGCACTTTCTCTTACGCTCGAATCATTACGGTGCACCGGCACGGCTGCAGTTATTAGGCTACTGATGAATTGCATTTACCGTGCCGGCTATTCCCTTTCTCCTAGTTGCAGGAAACGAGCTGCTTTTCTTTTTCTTTTTTCTTTTTTGGATTCTTTGTTATTTCGCGTTACGTCGTGTCAGCATAGATACCTGTAATTATGCATAAACCGCGCGGGTGATTGCTACCTCCGTCCGAACAAAATTTTTCCGATGCCCTCGATCGTGGTCTAGAAAGTTTTTCAGATTAACAGCACGCTGGAAATTGATTCGAAATTATTCCGAGATTTAATGTCGGTTAATTGTGCGCTGGTTAATTGTTCAAATGGTCAAATTGTGTTTAGTCCAGTTTCGATGAAATACGTTTAAATCGTTATAGAACGCGTTTATGACGAAAATAGAGTAGATCAAATACCTACAGAACAGAGTGCATTATTTTCAGTTGAATAAAGTCGTTCAAAAAAATGATAGAAACGTCTGTGCAGCTTTCGCACGTTGCGATCGACGCAGGCAATTTTTATTTTGCGCGAAGATCCGCGGTTCAACGATATGTTAATATCGTCGAAGTTGTAAAAGACAAAATGGAAATGCGAGAGATAAACGTTGCGTTGCGAAAACTGCATTTTTTGCGCCGGCGGTGAAACATTGCAGGAATGAGGATGCAGGTAACTCGGGTATTCCGTGGGAGTGATATCCGCGTGGGAGTATCGGAACGTTGCAGGTGAGAACAATAAATGCAAAAGCACGAATCTCACGTCGAGGCCTTCGTAAAGGTCTGTCGGACGTAAGCGCACATAAGGGTAATTATGTTGAAATAATTTGAGTGCGCGCGGCCAGCCAATCGCCGCTCTCCAAATCTCTTCTGAACACGAAGGTTCCAAATTAATTGGAACATCATCTTGTAAAATGTTTACAGGATAAAATTTTGTACGTTCCTTTTCTACCGTTGTATTATAAAATTTCGTACATTATTTTTACCCTTAAATTATACAATTTTGTACATTCTTTTTACCCTTGAATTATACAATTTGGTACACTTCCTTTTACAGTTGCATTATAAATTTTCGTACATTTCTTTTTACCCTTGGATTATACAATTTTCGTACACTTCTTTTTACACTTGCATTATAAATTTTCGTACATTTCTTTTTACCCTTGGATTATACAATTTTCGTACACTTCTTTTTACACTTGCATTATAAATTTTCGTACATTTCTTTTTACCCTTGGATTATACAATTTTCGTACACTTCTTTTTACACTTGCATTATAAATTTTCGTACATTTCTTTTTACCCTTGGATTATACAATTTTCGTACACTTCTTTTTACACTTGCATTATAAATTTTCGTACATTTCTTTTTACCCTTGGATTATACAATTTTCGTACACTTCTTTTTACACTTGCATTATAAATTTTCGTACATTTCTTTTTACCCTTGGATTATACAATTTTCGTACACTTCTTTTTACACTTGCATTATAAATTTTCGTACATTTCTTTTTACCCTTGGATTATACAATTTTCGTACACTTCTTTTTACACTTGCATTATAAATTTTCGTACATTTCTTTTTACCCTTGGATTATACAATTTTCGTACACTTCTTTTTACACTTGCATTATAAATTTTCGTACATTTCTTTTTACCCTTGGATTATACAATTTTCGTACACTTCTTTTTACACTTGCATTATAAATTTTCGTACATTTCTTTTTACCCTTGAATTATAAAATTTGATACATTTCTTTTTACAGTTGCATTATAAATTTTCGTACATTATTTTTACCCTTGGATTATACAATTTTCGTACACTTCTTTTTACACTTGCATTATAAATTTTCGTACATTTCTTTTTACCCTTGAATTATAAAATTTCGAACATTTCCTTCTACCCTTGCATTATAATTATTTACCGTATTATTTTATTATATTTCATTAACGAACAGAATGATTTACGCTACACCTTGACACGAGAACTTCTTATTGATCTAAATCCAATCTAGATGCAATCTAGATCGAATCTGACAGCTGAAAAATCCGTTTGCAAAACAATCGAACGATAAAGATAAAAGACAGAAAAATCGAACATAATACAAAACAGCCTAAGCGAAAGGTTTCGAATGAATGGCTTTCTGTTCCGCGCTCGTTTCTTCGCCGTTCCATAGACGCTTTTATCTCGATGCATTAAACAAATGACATAAACGATACGAGTAACGTTATGTTAACAAAAAGAAGAAAAGGGAGACAGAGAGAGAAAAGAACGTCGAATGAGCGAATCTTTTCACGGAGAAAACAAGCGATTAGGGTAACGGTTACTTTCTGTTTCGCCGTTATTGCAGGCGATTACAAAACGGATGTCTCTGTTTGAACGACAATTATGTCATCGCGGTATCTCGAACCCGTTATCACTTAGAGGATCCATTAATCGAAAGATAAGCGAACATGATCGAGTAAATTTTTCCGTTTTTCGTTTTGTCTCAGGACGGGGCGACTTCGTCGGAGGCATAGACAACGAGGCCCTGGACTTTTCGCAATTGGAAGACTTCATTAACAGCGACAGCGAACAACCGGCCACGTATGTAATTTTATAAAATATTTTTATCACGATGAACAACCAATTTGTCTGTAATAAACATGTTAAATGTGGATAATATAGCACTCAATGTAATATGGGATATTCTAAATTCTCGAGAAAAGAGAATAACGAGTTGCAAAAACGATCTTGTAGCTATGTAAATATATAAAATAATTTATTTATTTAATATAGGAAATATATAATTTATTTATTTAATATAGAAAATATATAATTTAATTATTTAATATAGAAAATATATGATAATAATATGATATATATGATAATATATATGATCTATTAATTTGATATAGAATAATAATATTTGATATAAAATAAATAATTCTCCAAAGAATAGATAATACTGTCCAACAAAAAATTGTTATCTTCTCTTTTAATAACCAGCAAACGCTGTTTATAGGTACAGTCTTGAACAAATATACAAGGACACCTTTTGCAACGAAACAACTTTTCCAAAATTTCACCGAACGTCATTTTAACCCCTTGAGAAAATTCAACTCGTCTGGTCGAACTTTTAAAAAGTTATTCCCTTTTTACAAGGCGTCCAAATATATTCGTACATACGTATATATACATTATTATCGGTCACAATAATTGTTTACCATCGCCGGGCGTGAATTTTGAAAAAATTCAACGCGTGCCTCTCGTTCACGATCAGATCGGAAACGTTTCTCTGGTGAATCGAACATCGGAAGCCATCGTTGACGCCTACATCGGGAGCACACGTGTCACATGCGCAACATCTCTGCCAGAATCTCGACTTCTCGCTCGATCAATCATCGGCGCACTCCTTCCGATACCTTTGGACTCTCGCAATCGTTGTTGTTCGTCGCGCGGCACGCGATGCCGATCGCCGACTAGAGGACGGTTCGTTCGAATTGATTCCCATTGCAAAATTCGACTCGTTGAAAATGGCAATTTTAAGAAGAATTTCGCGAGCACCCGAGAGCAACTTTTCAGTTCACGGTTCAAGAGAGAAAAACGGCTGCGACAACTGGTGCACGCGGTCTCTCTCTCTCTCTCTTTCTCTTTCTCTCTCTCTTTTTCTCTCTCACACTCTCTCTTTTTTTCTCTCTCTCTCTTTCTCTCTCTCACACTCACTCTCTTTTTTTCTCTCTCTCTCACTCTCTCTCTCTTTTTCTTTCTTTCTCTCTCTCTCTCTCTCTCCCTCTCTCTCTCGTGTCAACAGCGAAACGTTCTCACTTCGAGCACCTCGTTTCGAATCAAGCCAATTAAAGAATTCAGATCTAATGCGCTTACCAGCGTGTTGCAATGGCACGCGTTTCCTGCCAACCGTAGAACTCGTCGCGTTCAATCTCCGAACTGAATGCACCGGGCACAATGCATGGCACTCGGTGCATCGTGCAATTCGTAGGAGATTACATTTTTCGAACTATTTTATATTCTCAAAGAAACAGGTACTATTACTTGGTACTACAGTAATGTCTCTCTAATTGACGCCAAGATTTACCACAAAAATGGACAATTTGGGAAGAGGAGATACGATTATTCGAGCGCCTTGCGGTTTATTTTTATAGTCATAAATTGTCCACAATTATAAAAATGACCCGCAAGGCTAGAATAATCGCATCTCCTCTTCCCAAATTGTCCATTTTAGTGGACAATCTGAGCGTCAGTAAGGGAGACATTGTATATACTGGTACTATATCACTATAGGTACTAGTAATTAGTAATAATTAACGGGGTAATTGTGCATAAAATTTCGATGTTACTATTTCGTTAATCAATATAAACGTAAAAATTTATTATTTAGAATAGAAGTTATAATATACGCTGTTGTCATACGAAATTGTCGACGAAATAATTACAGTCATTACCGATCAAATAATTACAATAATCATTGGCAAGACAATTATAGCAACGATTGCTAAAATAATTACACGACGATTACAAAAGTAAATTAAATTGTCAGCGCGTCTCATCGTCTGGCGTTGTCATTCCCGTGATTTATTCGTCAAGAATGCTCGCTCCGGTCCACCGTAACGATGTTTTCCGCAATTAGGTCGAGTCATTAATAACTTTCGATGCAGCCAGGTAGAATCTATCTCTATTCGTGTCTGTCCGCTATGAGTCACCGGTGCAATCGAGTTTTTGCTTTCGCAAGGGCTCGAGATAAATCAAATGAAAAAAGAAAAGCCGAAGCGAAAAAATAAACGAAGAAAAATCAGAAATCAATGTCTGAGACAAAGAAACGGAATTTATTTATGACTCGACGGAGAAGAGTGGTGCAAGGGCGTAGCTCCGCAGCGACGGAGAGGACTCTCGGTCTGGAACTTCTGCCGGACAGTGGTGTATACGCGGCTGCACGCGCTGAACGCGCGGATCAGAAAGAGGATGAACCTTCGGGCGGTGCACACAGCCAGCCGAGATGCACCGACTCGAACGGTGGACGCGTGTTGAGAAACAGCAGACAGATATCATGTGGTAAGCGACCGCAGAGGTGTAATGATATAATGACAGGGACAAGCCTGGTCGGAATTGATGGAATCAGTGCTTGCCGCGTTAGGCCTGGTAATCCAGCCTAACGCACTCGATCCATTAAAGGCCCCGCACTGATCTCAGAAACAGATTTCATTCACAGACCGGCCGCGCAGAAGATTCACCCTTGATCTTTCCTGCAGCGCGAGGTTGCGACGGAACGCGGATTAAACGCGGAAAGAGCCCCGGCCGATCCCGTAAATCATCGCGGCGCGTCTACGCGGAACTGTTCGCGGGAAGAAAGCCGGGAACGCGGGGAAGAGAGAGAGAAAGAGAGAGGGAGAGAGAGAGACTCAATGTCGGATCTCTATCGATATCACGGACGAAATCGGTTTAGACGACGACACGTGGATCATTGGTGGAGCAGGTTGTTTTGCAGGTTTTGTTGCAACGTGTCATCGATTAAAAGCATGGGGATCAACGTGAGAAAAATTAGACTCGCGTCTGCTAAGGTTATTTCGCTCTGCTGTAAGGCTCGCAGACATTGGAAGAGTCATAGGACTGGCAAGAAGTAGTATTCTCGGATGAATTGGAGTTTGATTTTATTTTTTCTGACGGCTTGCGACACGTCAGAGAGAGAGAGAGAGAGAGAGAGAGAAAGAGAGAGAGAGAGAGACGTCGTTCTGTGTTTGGAACTTTTTTGGATATTTCTTTCTTTCTTTCTTTCTTCTTGTCGTAAACTTTTGGCCATTACTGTATGTAGAATGACATTCTTTTTTTTTATTGTCAAGGCTGGGGAATTTTTAATAGTAGAAGGAAATATTAAAAGGATTTTAAAGGATTTTAAAGGATGTTAAAAAAGATATTGAAGGATATTGAAGAAATATTAAAGGATATTAAAGGATACTAAAGGATACTAAAGGATATTAAAGGAATATTAAAGGATATTAAAGCATATTAAAGGATATTAAAGGGATATTAAAGGAATATTAAAGGATATTAAAAGAATATTAAATAGTAGATATTGAAATATTTGCACGAGTAAAGAAATTGATGCCCTAATTGACGCTCAGATTGTACACATTCTTGTGTACAAGCTGAAGAACAATTGGGAAGAATTTACTGTAATATTTGCTTATGCGAATGCGTCAATGTTCACATTTTTTTATATATCACAGTATTTCAAATTTTAATAACATTAGTATTTTAGTAACATCGGTACCGTAATAATTATTGTAGAATTTAACGTAGCAGATGTTTCTCTGTCTGAAAGAAGTCTTTGCCTGAAAAAAATGAACACCTGAAAAAAACGAATGCCTGAAGAAAAAAAACGAATACCTGAATGAAGCGACTACACCTGAATGGAATTATCAGCCGAAGGAGAGATGCGATATTACGTAGCAGCCCGTTACGATCTGATATTACACGATCATAGAGGATGTGCATTATACATGCACGGAATGCGATACAAAGAAATATTGAATTGGTAATACTGCTAGACCTCGGGCACAGTTTAATTTATGGCGCTTCGAACGCGGTAAAGATTGGATACTGGATTTCAGATCTGCCCGAGTCGATAAAGCAAAATTTGTGGTTCGTCGAAGACCTTTTTCAACGCTTTCTTTTCTTCGCGATATCAAAATTCAGAGAGTCCACGAATCCCGAGAATTCCAGAGATCTCCGAGGAATGTCGGAAACGCCGGTGAATGATTTACAACGTGTTCCAAGAGGGATTGCAGAGGTTTCGAGTGCCTCGGGATTGCCTGGACTGACGAGTACGCGTCCATTGTGTTCGAAGATGTTCTGCATCGGACTATTGGGTCAGCGATGATGTCTATCAAGTTCCTCGAGTCCATTGTGTTCGAGATGGTTTGCAGCTAGATTCTTGCGTTCCGTGTGGTCCATATTCGGTTGGTTGGCTTTGGGATAGCGTTTGAACAAGTGCGCAATTGATATAATTATTAGTTTTGTAGAGGAAAGGTTATTCTAATTTACAAAATTAATGTTTCATTTTTTAACCATTTTATTAGGATTTTTTTTAATTTTAAGTTTAGTGTAATTATTTTAATATTATTATCATTAGTAGTTTTTTTTAAGGATAGATTTTGTATAGTATTAATTAGATTGGAGTTTATGTTCATTTATATTTGAATAATATTTCTTTGGTGGGAATCATTATAACATAATGATTGAATATTTATATGTGTATTAATTATAGGAGTTTGTGAAAGAGTCATTGGAATTACTTTAATAATTAGGCTAGTAATTTATTCGCAGATTAATTATTATTCGTTTACGAATACGTGAAGGGGTTATGTAAAAAGATTAAAGTGCAACATTCTGCTTGCGCGTTGTTTAATGAAAAGTAGACATTCGTAAGAAGTTCGCAATTGATATATAATTATTAGGACAATTCACTCTTTATTTATTAATTCGAGTTCAAAGAAGTGTAATTCGAATTAATTCGAGTTCAAAGAAGTGTAATTCGAATTAATTCGAGTTCAAAGAAGTGTGACTCGAATTAATTCGAGTTCAAGGAAGTGTAATTCGAATTAATTCGAGTTCAAGGAAGTGTAATTCGAATTAATTCGAGTTCAAGGAAGTGTAATTCGAATTAATTCGAGTTCAAGGAAGTGTAATTCGAATTAATTCGAGTTCAAGGAAGTGTAATTCGAATTAATTCGAGTTCAAGGAAGTGTAATTCGAATTAATTCGAGTTCAAGGAAGTGTAATTCGAATTAATTCGAGTTCAAGGAAGTGTAATTCGAATTAATTCGAGTTCAAGGAAGTGTAATTCGAATTAATTCGAGTTCAAGGAAGTGTAATTCGAATTAATTCGAGTTCAAGGAAGTGTAATTCGAATTAATTCGAGTTCAAGGAAGTGTAATTCGAATTAATTCGAGTTCAAGGAAGTGTAATTCGAATTAATTCGAGTTCAAGGAAGTGTAATTCGAATTAATTCGAGTTCAAGGAAGTGTAATTCGAATTAATTCGAGTTCAAGGAAGTGTAATTCGAATTAATTCGAGTTCAAGGAAGTGTAATTCGAATTAATTCGAGTTCAAGGAAGTGTAATTCGAATTAATTCGAGTTCAAGGAAGTGTAATTCGAATTAATTCGAGTTCAAGGAAGTGTAATTCGAATTAATTCGAGTTCAAGGAAGTGTAATTCGAATTAATTCGAGTTCAAGGAAGTGTAATTCGAATTAATTCGAGTTCAAGGAAGTGTAATTCGAATTAATTCGAGTTCAAGGAAGTGTAATTCGAATTAATTCGAGTTCAAAGAAGTGTAATTCGAATTAATTCTAGTTCAAAGAAGTGTAACTCGAATTAATTAATACGAGTTAAGCATAAAGATCCGCAGATTAATTATTACCAACTTGTTTGCGAATAGCAATGCGGATAGAAGACTTAAACAGCGACATCCTGCTTGCAATTAACGCCCGCGAATCCTGTGCACGCGGTTACGCTAAGAAATCCGAGAGAATTCACAATTGAAGCGTATAATATCAGTTTAAAAGGTCGAAGAAGCTAATCCAGGAAAGCGGACTATTTGATCGATGGTCAGCGCCGCGACCGTTCAGAATCATGAATTTAAAATCGCGACAGGATAATTGCATAATTATTAGCGAGGCTCTCGCTGTCGCAGCACGCGTTCCCCCGATGCAAATTGTTGCGTGAATTATGTCGTCGACACGGAATTCGTGGAAACACGATGCGGGGAAACTCCGAAAGAATAAATTTGTCTGGCCGAGCGGCAAGCGTCCGCGGACCGATCCGTCGGAGATCCTCCTTCGATCGACGATTAATACAAATTGATAGCCATTAGATTCCGTAATTGCCGGTTCTGATTGATTCGTTAGAATTTCATTCTGTCGAGCGTTGGCTCTCCGGCATCGGCTTGCCGAGGAAAAAAGAATGAAGAGAAGGCGGAACGATCCTGTTGCGAAGAAACCGATGATAGGCATCGGACAAAAAACGATACGGTACTCTTTTAATTTCTTCCTTACCGTATTTTTATCTTTTTTTCTTAGTGTATTAGGTAGCAAAAGGAAGTATTAAAAGGATATAAAAGGATGTTAAAGGATTTTAAAGGATATTAAAGGATATTAGAGGATATTAAAAGATGTTAAAGGATGTTAAAGGATTTCAAAGGATATTAAATGATATTAAAGGATTTTAAAGGATATTGAAGGATATTAAAGGTTATTAAAGGATATTAGAGAATATTAAACGATATTGAAGGATATTAGAGGATATTAAACGATATTAAAGGGTGTTAAATGATATTAAAAAATATTAAACGATTTTAAAGGATATCAAAGGATATTAAAGGATTTTAAAGGATATCGAAGGATATTAAAGGATATTAGAGGATTTTAAACGATATTAAACGATATTAAAGGAATATTAAAGGATATTAAAAGAATATTAAATACTAGACACTGAAATATTTGCACAAACAAAGATTGCAATAAATTCTCGCTAATTGACACTCAAATTGCACACAAAAATGTACAATTTCAGAAGAGGAGGCCCGTTTATTCGCGCCTCGCGGCTCATTTTTGTAATTACCGATTGTCAACAGCTATAAAAAGAAACGACTCGCGAGGCTCGCATGATCGTATCTCCTCTTCCCAAATCATCCATTTTTTGCGCGCAGTCCGAGCGTCAATTAGGGAGAATTCGCTGCATTTCACGACCGAGTCGCGCGCCGTGAAAATAACGCAACACTGGGTCAGTGTCGGAGAAATCACAGTACAACCATGTGTGTCTGTGTGTGTGTGTGTCTGTGTGTGTGTGTGTGTGTCTGTGTGTGTGTGTATCGTATTATATCTCGCGTTTGAAATGCGAGAAGGAGAGAGAAAAAGAGAAAAACGAAACGATTAAAAAGTCAAACGATTTTGTAAAACACGGCCGCGCAACGCCGATTAAATGCAACGCACCGCGGTGCAAATTCGTTTCCTGGTGTTGCTCGGGCGCGTCCAGCCGCGCGCGGCTTCTAGATAATATCTGTTGTTTATTTAAACGCGCGGCCGCGCTTTCGAGCATTTGTCGGCCGACCAAACAAAGGCGGTCGCGAATGTTGCTCGCGAACGCAATAAAATCATCATCGCGCCCGGCGGAGGTCGGCTCCGTTAATCGCAACGTCATCCTCGTCGTCGTCGCCGTCGACGTCGCGATCGAGACTTTAATCGCGACGCAATCAATTTTTCTTCGCTCGCTAAGAAGACAGAGAGCCGCTCGCGGATCGCCCGGGGGTTGTTCGACTCGTTCTAATTCGAGCCGAGGCAACTCGCCGCTGGAACAGAGTGAAACTAGTTTTATTTTTAACTTTTACAGTCGTTCGTTTTTATCGTTCCCCTTCGAACGCCGTAAAGGAAATTCAATTAGCGCGTAATCTGATCAGCGTTCTTCCATGTTTCTGTGAATTCTATCGTGCGAAATCAATTCACGGGCACGACCTTTGACACGACAAGATTACGAAACATACGGTTTAGGTTCGATCCGATTTAACAGGTGTTAACCCCTTGCCGTATTTTGACGAGTCCGACTCGTCATGAAAATTTCTGATAATAATTAATTGAGTATAGATGTTATTCTGTCCTTTGAAATTGGAATAAAATTCTAATCTCTTGTCATCGATATTTAAGCATTCGAGTAAATTTAGGCGCACGATAAACATCAATTTTCTTTCCCTTCTAAGAAATTATTGCAATCGAAAAATTTCTAATTACAGTAACTGCGAGGAAGACGGTATGTCAAGGGGTTAAATTGAACGGAATAGGGGAGATTTTGTGCTGTGCAATATTATACGAGCATAATTAGGTCGCGCGGTTACCGAAATTTCGTCGAGTCACGTCTACGCTAATCTCTTGTTTTCCTTTCTGCTTTACCTGCGTTACACGCAATCGTAATCCTCCTTGTCAAAAGCGATTACATTCTCTCTATAACATCATCGAGAAGAGTGATCACGATAATGGAAACTCGTTTAAGCTCACCCTCCCCATTAAATCGCACAGAATTACGGTGTATCTTTGATCGTTGCTAGAAAATTAAACGACATTCGGCTGTAAAACTTTCCGCAATTTATTATTCGATGTTGCAATTTAATTTTTTATTACATGTTGCATTTATCCAGTTAATTGGGGCGCCTCGAATGAGCAGACACTTAGATGACTATACTGACGAGTATACTCGTCAAACACAGCCAACTAATTAATTTAAATAAAACTAATTACTTTAAAAATCAATCTCGAAACGATAAATAATCCGATTCACGAAAATATGTACAATAAATTGAGTTCATCGAGAATTTGCGATTGTTAAATTGATCGAAGACGCGTCTGTTACTTGAGACATAACCTCGAAGATGCGCAAATGTTTATAGCAAAAGGGTGCACCGTTGCATTTGTTCGGTTCAAGAGAGTTTCTCGTTTGATCGCAGATATTTCGCGGACACGCTCGCGCATAACGAAAATGGCGGCGGCACGACGACTCACAATGGCCGGGTGGAGGGGCCGGTTCCTCAGCAACCACCGTCTCGACTACCCTCGCCGATTACCCAGAATCATCCGGTGTCGAGCACGTGCACATCCGGCACCACCACTGTGCCGAATGGCGCCCCTTACAAGGATCCGCAGTCGTACGTTCATCCGTAAGTTCAATTTTCATTGTATTATTCGTAGGAATTCTCTTCTCTTTCTTTCGTTTGCAGTGACAATCTACGATCTACAGAATTTATTGCACAGTTTTCGGAAACGTTGAATGAACAATTCAGGTATTTTTTAGGACATTTAAATATCATCTCCTTGAAAGCGAGACAATAAATACAGCAAAATTGCCGATGCGAATTCTGGACACCGCGTCAAAATGAAAATAAAATAAAAATAAAAATAAAAATAAGAATTAGAATTAAAATAAGAATAAGAATAAAAATAAGAGTAAAAATAGGAATAAAAATTTTTCAACGCAGTTGCAAGGAACATAAATCGAATAAAAATAGATTGTTTCTTTGAATAATCTTGACAAATGGAAAACAGCGTAACAATGCTATTCAATTCTCCGCACGTCTCCGCGATTTAATATTTCCGCGTCAGATTTTTGTCACAGATGCATAAAATCCGCGGTCCACTGTTCACAATGCTGCTATTTATACAAAACTCATCGTTGCACGAAGGATGTTCCTAGAAATGCTCGTCGTCACCAGTCGTTTTAGACTCGGAATATCAATGAGAAATATTTATCATCAGAGTATTCCTCGCGAGTTAAAAATAAAACGAAATAATATTGAAATAATTCTCGTTAATACACAACACGGTTCCCCGAATACTGCTCGATCAACAGGTACGTATGAAAATGCGCGATCCCACCGTGCGAATAAAGAAAAGCTATTTAATTGCCGGGAGAATTCGTTTTGACGGTGGATTTTGATCGGAATGTGGAACTACCCTTGTACGGCGAATCCAACTTTCGCCACGTAATAGATTCAACTTCGCCACTTTCACTGTTTAATCTAATCGAACGATCAATAGCAGGGGAAAAAGATAAGCGGATGTGCATAATGCATGCGCTCAGCCGTACATATATAGTCATACGGCGCGGTGGTGGCCGTGTTAATTACTAAATGTTTACGTGCGTAGACGGACAATGTTGTTCTTCCGCGGCGATGTCTGCTAAAGAAGGTGATATCGCTGGCTTTCGAACGCGATATACGCCGCCGTTATTCGATCTTTAAGGATTAATCGATGAAAAACGTGAACGTGAACTTTCCAATTACGTAAAGATGCGTACATATTTCTAGAAATTCGTGTCTCGTCGCGCGTTACTGGTAAATCCTCCCTAATTGACGCTTGTACTTTCTCCCGAATTCGCGCGCTCAGATTGCGCACGAAAATGGACAATTTGGAAAGAGCAGATACGATTATCGAGCCGCGCGGCTCGTTTTTATAGTTTGCGATTGTCGACAACTATTTGTGCACAATCTGAGATTAGGGAGAATTTACTGTATTCGACAGTAATCCAGATTTCACGGCTGCCATTGCTTTTTCGTGCGATAATAACACAGAATGTTTACAGAGAACGTTCGTAAAAATACTAAATAACATTTCTAAGATAAAATCATTTTTTTTTATTCTATAAATATCACATTTGAAGTGATAAGAATTATTATATTTGAGGTTATACGGAATATTATATTTGAAGTAACATAAAATACTACATTTATTATATTTAAGATATTAAAATATTATATTAAAAATATCTAAGATGAAATCATCTATTTTTTATTATGTAAATATCACATATGAAGCAATAAGAAATATCATATTTGAGGTTATATGGAATATCAGATTTGAAGTTACATAAAATACTACATTTATTATATTTAAAATATTATATCCTAAATATTCTATACCCTATAAACAGGGTTAATGTTCCGTTTCGATATAAATGCATTCAATTTCCCATTTACAGACACGCGTTACCGGAAAGTCCGCCGGACAGCGGCAGCGAACCACCGTACTCGCCGCCTGGACACAATGAGACTCAACATGTACATTCGCCACGTAAGTTTCCAGCCAATTCAAGACCAAGACCTTGATCTTGTCCTACGTTCGCAGCATAATCGTGGCAACCAGTCTTCGCGATAACAAATTCAATGAACACTCGATAAAATAAATGCAAAACACGATTCTAGAAATTGCACCCTTTTCCCCTAGTTCGACGACAACTTTTCGTTCCAGTCAAATCGTAGATCAGCGTTGATTCGCCAGGCACCCTATTTGTACCCGTTCCCCTAATTTCACCCTATCTGTTCCCGTTTTCCAGATCAAAAGGTAGCTCTCCAAGAAATGCTCCTCCACCATCAAGGTAGCCAGCCGAATTACGCACCGAATCTGCTACCCTCCTCGCCGAGAGCCTTAGCATCGTCCGCGGATCCACTGTTGCTCACCCACTCGGTTCTGACCTCTCACCTTCAGCCGGCCACGCCGAACCTTCAAACTCAACAGCCGATAGGTCCGACGCTGGTCCCTCTTCCGCATGAACACAGTCCTGGCAACATCAATACCTTGTACTCGTCGCTGCAGTCAGCGCCGAAGAAGAGGAAACTGAGCCAGGATGGTCTTGTTCACGTCAAGCAGGTGCAACGAGTAAACTTTTTTGTTACTCAGATTTGACGATTCATTCTCGATCTATCATATCTTGCTGATTTCGTTTGGGTCCGCGAGACGTGGGATCGTTGGACACGTAAACGATGTTGTAACAATTTCACTCTTTTTAATATTGATATTAATATTAAATTAAATATCAATATTCATATTAATATCCATGTTAATATCAATATTAATATTCATATCAATATGCACATTAAGATCAATATTAATATTCATATCGATATACATATTAAAATCAATATTAATATTCACATCAATATTCATATTAATATCAATATTAATATTCACATCAAAATTCATATTAATATTAAATTAGATATTAATATTCATTCAATATTCGTATTAATATTAAATTCGATATTAATATTCATTCAATATTCGTATTAATATTAAATTAAATGTAAATATTCATATCAATATTCGTATTAATATTAAATTAAATATCAATATTCATATCAATATTAATATTAATATTAAATTAAATATCAATATTCATATTAATACCAATATTTTATTTAATATTAATATTTAATATTAATTTGACTGTGAAACAAATACTGAGTTGTAAGAAAAGTAATCTCGGTTTCCTCAGCTGTCTCTTTGTAAAATCGAAATTACTATCGCAACGACCCAATAATTTAATTCAACAAAATATCCGAGGTTGTTCTCAGTCGACGTGTCAACGATTTCATTTCGCTCGCAGCTCTCGTCTAACGTCGATCGCAACGATCTCTCACCTATTCTTCTCTGCTCTAAACAAAATAAATGTTCGAAATGCTCGTCTCATTGGCGGCGTTCTGTCGCAGGAACCGGAACTGGGGACGGTGGAGCACAGTTGCAGCAGCAGCAGCGCGGTTCTCGACGGCGACGAGGTCGCAGACAACAGCTACATCGACGCCAGCTACCAATGCATCCGATTTCACCCCTTTCAGCAGACATCCTGGCACGTTCTCTGCGACCACAATCTGAAAGAGCTCCCGGTGCCGCATTACCGCGTCGACGCCGACAAGGGATTCAATTTCAGCAACTCGGACGACGCGTTCGTGTGCCAGAAGAAAAATCATTTTCAGGTAGACACCTTGCTGGGAACGTTGCCGCCGCGTGGGTGCGGCGAGAGGCACCCAAATGCGGTTAAAATTCCTGTTTTATGAGTTCTAAAATATAATTTTAGAAAGGAACTGTAGTGATAGATGATCGAGCATTTGGATCACAATGTCAACATTTACAATGTGAAATTTCATGAAACGATAGTTCACGGTATCATTTTTCTTTCATTTTTATTTAATTATTAACGCGGCTGCAAAATTTCGAAGCCACCCTCCTGCTGTTTTTTTAAACCCCGATTTAATCGCGGGTGAATATTCTTGGAGAAATAGCTTAAATAATAAAGACAAATGCGAAGTGCAGAGGATTTATTAATTTTGAAAGGATTCTTTGAGCATGAAATAACGTTTCACAAGAATTTTCTTTGTGTTACATGAATTATTGTTGCGTCGCTGATTGATCCACCGTCGGCGAAACATTTGTTCGGTTTTTGCGATTCATTTTTACGGATCTTTTCGCCGCTTTTCGGCCGGAAACGGCGCCAACGCGCGCCGGCGCGGCAGGGGCGCGGTTTTCACGTTTCGCAAGGGTCGCGGCGCAAGAACAACCAGATGCGATTAAGGCCGACGTGACTTTTCAGATTACTTGCCACGCTCAGCTACAAGGTGAAGCTATATTCGTCCGAACCGGCGAAGGTTTGAAAAAGATAAGTAGCTTCCAATTACACTTTTATGGCGTCAAAGTGGAGTCGCCGACGCAGACGATCCGAGTCGAGCAGAGCCAGAGCGACAGGAGCAAGAAACCGTTTCATCCTGTGACGTAAGTACACTGACAAACCTGTCGGCCGGTGATTCAAAACTTAAATACACTGTTCCACGGTTGCTTGTTAGCCACGGTCACGTGCGATTACAACTATTTTTATTCGACGTGGAAATCGAGTAATCTTCCAACGAAATTAAACGACGTTGAATAATGTTTGCGTGAGTTGGACGGATCGTTATATTTTCAATTTTATAATTGTATAATCGGTCGGAATATCCGGGTATTTTTCTGTCTAGTTTGCTGTGCAGTCTTCGTTTTGTTTTTACTCAGCTGCATTTTGATGATAGCTGTTTCCTTAATTTTTAGCGTGGCGAAAAGGAGAAATATTTCTTCTACATTTTGCTTTCTGTTTTACTTTCTTCGTGGTGCTTTATATTTTATTTAATACTGTGTAATATTTTACTTGATACTTTGTAATATTTTATTTAATATTTCATTATATTTTATTTAGTAGTGTATTGTATTTCATTTAATATTGTACAATATAATAATACTGTACAATATTTTATTTAATACTGTAAAATACTTTACTTAATACCTGTCTCTTATACACATCTAGATGTGTATAAGAGACAGTAATAATACTGTACAATATTTTATTTAATACTGTAAAATACTTTACTTAATACCTGTCTCTTATACACATCTAGATGTGTATAAGAGACAGTAATAATACTGTACAATATTTTATTTAATACTGTAAAATACTTTACTTAATACCTGTCTCTTATACACATCTAGATGTGTATAAGAGACAGTAATAATACTGTACAATATTTTATTTAATACTGTAAAATACTTTACTTAATACCTGTCTCTTATACACATCTAGATGTGTATAAGAGACAGTAATAATACTGTACAATATTTTATTTAATACTGTAAAATACTTTACTTAATACCTGTCTCTTATACACATCTAGATGTGTATAAGAGACAGTAATAATACTGTACAATATTTTATTTAATACTGTAAAATACTTTACTTAATACCTGTCTCTTATACACATCTAGATGTGTATAAGAGACAGTAATAATACTGTACAATATTTTATTTAATACTGTAAAATACTTTACTTAATACCTGTCTCTTATACACATCTAGATGTGTATAAGAGACAGTAATAATACTGTACAATATTTTATTTAATACTGTAAAATACTTTACTTAATACCTGTCTCTTATACACATCTAGATGTGTATAAGAGACAGTAATAATACTGTACAATATTTTATTTAATACTGTAAAATACTTTACTTAATACCTGTCTCTTATACACATCTAGATGTGTATAAGAGACAGTAATAATACTGTACAATATTTTATTTAATACTGTAAAATACTTTACTTAATACTGTACAATATTTTATTTAATACTGCAAAATACTTTACTTAATACTGTACCATATTTTATTTAATACTGTAAAATACTTTACTTAATACTGTACAATATTTTATTTAATACTGCAAAATACTTTACTTAATACTGTACCATATTTTATTTAATACTGTAAAATACTTTACTTAATACTGTACAATATTTTATTTAATACTGTCTAATATTTTATTCCCTACAATCAAAAGCAAAATTTTCTAGAATCCTATAATTTGTGTCAAACGTTTCAGAAACCTAATTTATAAGGCACAGTAATTTTAATTTCGAAGACACTTCTGGAATACATAATATCCTACAATATTTCTCCATAATTTCTTTTTCAATACGAAGGCTCCTTTGAAAAATGTCCATTTATATTTTTGCAATCGATAGACGAAAGAAATCCCTTACTTAAAAAAAAACAGATCCGAATCAGTGCAACAGAAACTGTGGAACATTGTGTACAGGATGTCCCAGAATATCTTCCAAGAATTCTGAAAGCATGCGAACGCGTGCCTGGGACGTCGCTGTGATTTATTCTTTGGTTTTCATTTTGACATTCGAAGATGCGACGAACAATTTTCGGAACCTTTGGTGCGAAATTCTTTTATTCACGACGATACATAAAAAAAGTTACTGCGTTACGCTAAAATAGAGCTGCTTTCAGGGTGGAACTGGGTGGCGAACGCGTGACCAAGGTAACCGTTGGTCGTCTCCACTTCAGCGAGACAACCAGCAACAACATGCGGAAGAAGGGGAAACCAAATCCAGACCAAAGATACTTCCATTTGGTTGTTGGTTTGCACGCGCACACCGCGGACCAAGCTAGCTACCAAGTGGTGGCTCATGCGTCGGAGAGGATAATCGTTAGGGTAATTAATTGACCCTCGCTATTATTCCGCTATGAGAGACAGGGTGCCCCAAAATTATTGTACAAGCGGGAAGCGAGGGATTCCTAAGGCGATTTGAAGTAACTTTTTCCTCAGCGAAAATGCGATCCGCCGCTTCGTTTGCGAGTTATTAACGAAAAACGGTGACCAATGAGAAGCGAGCTCGGCTGCCGCGAGATCAGCTGACGCGAGACGGTCCGCCAATGAGCGGAACTGGGTTTCCTGCGCTCGTTGACTGGCCCGCTTCGCGCCAGCCGAGCTCGCCTCTCATTGGTCACCGCTTTTTCGTTAATAACTCTCAAACGAAGCCGCGGATCACATTTTCGCTAAGGAAAAAGTTTTTTCAAATAACCTCAGGAACCCTTTACTTCCGGATTGCGAGACATTTTTTGGACACTCCGTAGAGACTTACAAATATTAATTGTTACAAGAAAACACCTAATTTAAACGTTTCTGTTTCTCTGAAGGCGAGCAATCCAGGTCAATTCGAATCGGAGGGCAGCGGCGTCGGTGCTGAAGGGGGTTGGCAAAGGGGTGCTGCGCCAGACAGCGTTTACCATGCTGGTCGTGTTGGAATTAACACGGACAGGCCCGACGAAGCTCTGGTTGTCCATGGTAATATGAAGGTACGGCAACAATTGTTATTCATTCAACATTCGGATTCAGATCAAAGTTAAATCGAATATCTTGATTTGTAACATTTTAAATTGTACTTTAACGAACAACGTTGAGTTTTAGTTCGCACCGATAAAGAGATAGATTTTCTTGTCAAAGAATAGAAACATTGAATTTTTATTTCAACTATTCGCCGTTTTTGTTATAATATATAATTGACACCATTACCATCCCCTACGAAAGAATCTTTGCAATTTCATCACTTCCAAAATAAAAGTGTACACTAATAATTTAATATTTTATTTAACAATGTACAATATTTATATTTAATGATGTATAATATTTTACTTAACGATGTATAATATTTTATTCAATATTATGTAACATTTTCTTGAATACCACGTATTCATCGAATACTGTAATATCGTGTAACATTTTATTGAATTCCGTATAACATTTTATTCAATCCTGTCGGACGTTTTATCCTGTCTTTTATCGCCAACAATCAAAAATAAAATTTTCTAATATTTTGTCTGCTGCATACTCTTGCAGGTGACGGGTCACATCGTCCAGCCCAGCGACGCGCGTGCGAAACAGAACGTGCAGGAGGTCGACACGCGCGAACAATTGCGGAACGTGCAGCAATTAAGAGTGGTTCGTTACCGATACGCTCCCGAATTCGCCCAGCATTCGGGCTTGGGTATCAAGCAGCAGGAAGACACGGGCGTGATAGCGCAGGAAGTCCAGCAAATCTTACCGGAAGCTGTGCTACCAGCTGGCGACATAGTCCTGCCGAATGGTCAGAGAATCGAGAACTTTTTGGTGGTGAACAAAGAGAGGATATTCATGGAGAACGTCGGCGCCGTGAAGGAGCTGTGCAAAGTAAGATCGCCGCGATGCGAAAATGCAAACGAGGCGGAAATCTCGTCGCGCGACGAAGAAAGACGTTAATTGTCTGATAATTGTCCGCAGGTAACGGACAGCTTGGAAACCCGCATAGACCAACTGGAGCGGATAAACAAACGGCTGGCGAAGCTGAAGAGAGGCGACAGCCTGAAGAGTTCCATTAGTACAATATCTAGTATATCAAGTAACAAATACTCATCCTCTATGAATAATAAGACCGTTGTACAGGGAAAAGCGAAGAAGAGCGAGCGAGAGGACGAACTTCTTTGCAGCAACAAATTTATCCAGATTATTTTCGTTATCCTTATCCTTATCATGGCGTTTTGGTAATTAAACATCTTCTACTGTAATCGTTTGTCGTTGTAACTCGACTGCGGATGGATCTCCGTGGGAAATAACAACTTTCTGAATCGATTCTAAGAAACGGAAGTTAAACAAAAATGTGTTTAATTAATTAAATCATTCATTCATTTATCAATGTATTTATTAAACTGTTCTCGTGGCTTCCTTGCTCGATAACTCATCTAATTGTTCTTTGATCACGAATACAGAAAATCTGCAGTCTAGGTATAACATTAACCCTCGAATGATGGGAATAACCTTGACATAACCTTGACATGACCTTAGCCAATTAAATCGCTGCTTTTTCAAATAAATGTTAACCCCTCGATTTCTTCGTCCTTTATAATCTCCCCGATTGAACCTTGACGACGTTTTCAACCCTTCCCGCCATTCGAGGGTTACTTACGTATAATTCGCTCGATTCAAACGTGTCACCGTTCTCAGCCGAACAAATTTCGTTTTTTCAGCTTAGTCGCAATGGCAACTTTATACTTCTTAGAATATCAGAAACGTAGCAGTCTGGAATGGTCGGCGGTGGCCAGCAATGGAATGCTGGCGATCAGACCGGCGCATCCGTCGACGGTGTCGAGCACGCCTAATTACGATCCCCGGTATAATTCGCTGTTGGACAGCACCTTATCGTCGTCTTTTACCAAACACGGTTCGCACACCAGAGGATCGGACGGCAGTTTATCCGTGAAGAGCAACGTGTTCTCCACTCAAGCGCCGCACACGAAGCAGCAGCTCTATTCCCAAGAGATCACCTGGTATCCCATCAGCCACTCGGGACCCCAGCCGAAGCTCGAGAAGAACAGGTTTGTAATAATCGTTGGCCTTGGCTTCTTCTCGCTTCTCGTTTTCGTTCGACGGATTTTCTAATCGAAGCGAATTCCCTTCAGCGAATTCCCTGGCAACTGGCTGAGCAGAACAGGCGCGGGCGCTGTTCCCAGCAACGTGGACGAGAACGACCAGGGCTCGGACGTGGACTCGTCCTTGAGCAAAGGGCCCACCCCCATCGGCAGACCTGTGAACTGTCCGAAACATTTCACCGAATTCGAAAATCCTTGCCAGGTAAGACGACGCATTTAAGACACGTTGTCTCATCAATGACACATTATCTTATTCAGTTAATAATTAATATAATAATATAATAATAATAATATAGTAATATAATAATATAATAATATAGTAATATAGTAATATAGTAATATAGTAATATAATAATATAATAATATAATAATATAATAATATAATAATATAATAATATAATAATATTAATAATTAATATAATATAATAATATTAATAATTAATATAATATTAATTATTGCTTCGCAGATATACTGTTGCACGGCCAAGATCCATCAGTTCGAGGATCCGCAGCCGGATCATCCCCCGGAGAAGAAATCCATTTGTAAGTTTCAGACTGCGCAGCGAAATCTCTTCGCAGAGTGATTTAAATAATTGTTTATCATTGTTATATTTGCTTAAACAAACGATCCTTCCCTTCTCCAGCAGATCATATAGAGCAGCCACTGAACGTGCACGAGGAGAAACGTAAAATCAGCAAAGGCTTCCAAAACGGTATCAGCCCGTCGGATCCGAGCACGCAGACGCTCGTGAAAGAGGTAAATAAATGGATAAACCGGTTTCTCAGCGATAGCTTGAAGAAGCTCTATTTGTTGCAGAATAATTACAAATATTTGCACAAGAGGACGCGAAGGGAGAATGGCGGCGGTGATTGGGGTGAGGTGGCCAGCAACGCGGCAGGTTCGTTGCCGCCGGAACCCAAGCCGCAGTTGTGGATCGTCGCTGAGAGCTTCAACGCTTCCCTCGATCAAAAGTATTGCTCTGCGTCCTCGCAGGACTCATCGAACAATGTCACATGCATCGTGCCTCTGTCGAAGTACATGCCGGACATACATCTTACCCTGCATTTTGTGTGAGTGCCTCGATATTGCCGAATCGTAGACACTGTTGCATAATAAACGCATGCCGATTATATTATAATTATTATAATATAATATATAAAATTTATATAAACTTATAAATTATTATAATAGTTACAGTGAACTCTCCCCAATTGTCCTTCGGCTTGTATACATAAGTGGACAATTTGGGAAGAGGAGACACGATTATTCGAGTCTTGCACCTTGTTTTCTCAGTTGCCAGTTGTTAACAATTTGTAAAAACTTTAATTTATTGTGCTTGCATGATCTAAAAGAGAACCTGGAGTCTGTTGCTGTGTCATTATCCTCAGCTTTAAAATCTGTTAATTTTACTATGAAAGAATATTCACACATACATATGGCACGCGGATATAAAGTAATGTCTCCCTTACTGACGCTCGGATTGTCCACTAAAATGGATAATTTGGGAAGAGGAGATACGATTATTCGATTACGATTTGCGGCTCATTTTTATAATTGTGGACAATTTATAACTATAAAAATAAACCGCAAGGCGCTCGAATAATCGTATCTCCTCTTCCCAAATTGTCCATTTTTGTGTGCAATCTGAGTGTTAATTAGCGAGGATTTTTTGCAATGTTTATTTGTGCAAATATTTCAATGTCTACTATTTAATATTCTTTTAATATCCTTTAATATTCGTTTAATATCCTTTAATATTCCTTTAATATTCTTTAATATTCCTTTAATATCCTTTAATATTCCTTTAATATCCTTTGACATTCCTTTAATATCCTTCAATATCCTTTAAAATCCTCTTTAATATCCTTCAATATCCTTTAAAAACCTTCAATATCCTTTAATATCCTTCAATATCCTTCAATATCCTTCAATATCCTTCAATATCCTCCAATATCCTCCAGTATCCTCCAGTATCCTCCAATATCCTTCAATATCCTTTAAAATCCTTCAATATCCTTCAATATCCTTCAATATCCTCCAATATCCTCCAATATCCTCCAATATCCTTCAATATCCTTTAAAATCCTTTAATATCCTTTAATATCCCTTAACATCTTTTAATGTCCCAAATACTTCCCAAATGGTCCATTTTTGTGATCAATCTTGGGCGTCAATTAGAGAGACATTACTTTATACTTAGAACATTATAATATCCGAATATCGTTCACTGAATTCATTTCCTGTTCTCACTCGATGCCTTCAGCGGAATGCCTTGGTATTGGCAAGTGGTGCAACAGTGCTCGCTGTCGACGAACGCCGGCGTGGACGAGACCCTGATATGCAGTCGAAAATACACGATCCAGCAACCGGCGCAGTACATGGAGAACAGCAATCAGCCGGGCGATCAATCGTTCTCCCTCGACGTTGCACACTATCTCAGGAAGACGTTGAGGTTTCGCGTGCCCACCGTGCAGCCTCAAGAGGTGATTCACATGACAAACCTAACCAGAATATGTATTTAACGAGTCAGGTGGATTCTCTGTGGCGACCAGTTAACGAGCACGCGCTGTTCTCTTTCAGAATATTTGTAAAAACAAGCACGGCGTCGATTACTCAGAGTACACGTTGCACTTTTACCGTGACTGCGACGAGTGAAGAAGAGTTTCTCAGTGTCGTCGCGCCTCATGGACGACAGATCGAAACGACAACAGTATGAAATCCGAAGAAGAAACGATCGTCGAATCTCAACAAACACACACACACACAGCTGGACCCCCACAACTCGTGCCTTCGTAACAACACAACGTATTCCGTCTCTATTTTGTCGAGCTATCGAATTATACATATAGAGTGTATATGTATGGTAACGTATATATATATTATCGAAATGGATCTGTAACTGTATTTTCTATGTTAACGCAATATACCATGTAGCCGTGACAACGATGATAAACAGACGCGATTTAGATTTTACAGGCTCAAGAAGCAATGGTAACGTAGCAGAACCCTTTAGGATGTTTCGAGGATTATTATTCGATATCATGATAATGAGATACAGTGGCCCACGAAAGTGTTCGTACACATTTTGAAACATAATGACATTTTCGAAACTGGACCAAGTGGCTTGAATTGTTTTTTAGGTGATACAGGGATATAGTATACTAGATAATGATCAGAATGTTTATTTTTTTAATTTTACTATTATTTGTAACCGGGATTTTTTAAATTCTTGTTACAAGCTCGGATAAAAAAGATTAAAAAACGAGAGCTTTTCATGTTCTTCTGTCATTCCAAATATAATAATAGCAATATTCAAGAAAGACTGCTATACTAGCACTATGTATAGTATATATATCTATAGTATACGCTGCTATACTAGTACTATGTATAGTATATATATAGTATACTCTGCTATACTAGTATTATGTATTGTATATATATAGTATACTCTGCTATACTAGCACTATGTATAGTATATATATATCTATAGTATACTCTACTATACTAGTACTATGTATAGTATATATACTGTCTCTTATACACATCTAGATGTGTATAAGAGACAGTATATATACTATACATAGTACTAGTATAGTAGAGTATACTATAGATATATATATACTATACATAGTGCTAGTATAGCAGAGTATAGTATAGATATATATACCTGTCTCTTATACACATCTAGATGTGTATAAGAGACAGTATATATACTATACATAGTACTAGTATAGTAGAGTATACTATAGATATATATATACTATACATAGTGCTAGTATAGCAGAGTATAGTATAGATATATATACCTGTCTCTTATACACATCTAGATGTGTATAAGAGACAGTATATATACTATACATAGTACTAGTATAGTAGAGTATACTATAGATATATATATACTATACATAGTGCTAGTATAGCAGAGTATAGTATAGATATATATACCTGTCTCTTATACACATCTAGATGTGTATAAGAGACAGTATATATACTATACATAGTACTAGTATAGTAGAGTATACTATAGATATATATATACTATACATAGTGCTAGTATAGCAGAGTATAGTATAGATATATATACCTGTCTCTTATACACATCTAGATGTGTATAAGAGACAGGTATATATATCTATACTATACTCTGCTATACTAGCAATATGTATAGTATATATATCTATACTATACTCTGCTATACTAGTCCTTATAGCATCTAAAAAAAGAATAATTCAAGTCATTCGGTCCAGTTCCAAAAAAGTTCTCGCGTTTTAAATGGCGTTAAATTTAACACATTCGTGGGCCACCGTGTGTCGTGTTAAACACGTAGTTGATGGGTAAATAGTAGACGTCTCTTCTAACCTTGAACAGTGGATAATTCTTCTTTACACTCGTCGCTGGAAAACACAGGAGCAATAATACTTATATACGTCTTACGCCTCTTCACACGATCAGGTTTCATGGGCGCGTGCTGCGACACGCTGTCGGGTGTAAAATATTGTACAAAGTGAACAGAACTGTTTAACGGGGTGGCCACGAAATTTTCCAACGGAGAGAACGCCGTATATGTAAATACCTTCCTTTTCTTCCGTACAAGAGTACGCACATTATTATCGCCCATCAACTGCAGCGTAGCGTGTTTCAGCGTATTGTTTCAAATAGTTTTTACACTATTTATATACTCGTGTACAAAAAATTCGATCGGACAGGTCTTATTGACAAGGTGGTATATACATATTTATCAACGGTATATCCCCTCTCTATTGTATCTCGATAATACGGTATTCCGATTAATTAATGAATTCTGTATTCCCGCATTCCCGCACCAACGGTATAATAAGCTAAATAATAACGGAACCCACACACAGTTTATTCTCTATTCTAACGTTCGATCGAACGATATGAACAACAAGCGACAAACGCATCGAGCGATACAATCCCCGAGTTAACTTGTAACTTTGTGATCAGCAATCAGACGAACAAAGTGTCGAAGCGACGTACAAAATATCACCGCCGTCATTGTTTTGCTATTTTTCGAGTGTTTATTCATTCAATTCGAATTCCCGTCGACGATCCATCATTATTATAAAATTCACGCGATGTTATTTATATGTATACACGTATACATAAGAGAAGCACCGAATCGAATTTCGCGACGCTCGATTATTTTGATCCGATTAATAAGAAATAGCATAGACGTTCCACGAGGAAGCGATATTATAGAATTTCAAGTTCCTAAAAGGTATTGTGTATAATAATTACGTAATTTCGTGTAGTAGAATTTAGGCGGATACGTTTTATTTGCACCGATCATAGAAATTAGTTGTTAGCTGCATGCGACTAGAGTACCGCTATTTTTATCATTATTGTTGCTACACCCCGCTGCTATTGTTACTACGGATATCGTAATTAGACTATTTCTCAGCTGTTGTTATCTACTGTCGCTAGAGATAATCAGCGTACACACGCGTTCAAGCTCTATTTATGATTTTCTTTCCGTTGTCCTCCAGCCTTGCAAACAAAAGAAGCTCTGTGTTATTTAGTCGAAGAGTCTCGGAAACATTTAATAATAATTAATACATCACCACGCGGCTGCGGACTTTGCTTGCGTTTACAAGCGTGAACGCGTCCGATTACGCGAAGCTTCGATTTGTTTACGAAGCAACATTCTTAATCGCGTGTTCCATGGAACGACAATTTAACGTCTTGAAAATCCAACGAATCGTAAGAATGATCTCTTTCGGTATCTCGCTGAATTATAATTCGATCTGCTTGTCGTCACAGTTACGATTATGATTATTAATTTGATTGAATTGCGTAATTTTTCTTTTCTAATTTTGTTAAGAGAATATCGACACGCGATTCCAAAGCATCGGTATATCGAATGAAATAGGTCGACGAACGTTTTATTTTCGCGCGAGCCGATGTACACGAGATTTTTGCCGTCCACGCGTTCTCTTTTCTTTTCGTTTTTTTCTTCGAAAGAATATTTACTCTAACGTATAAAACGAATATTACTCTATCCACCGCGATTAATTAACGCGCGATTCCACGCGGATACGTTTTCACGGACGCGGAAGTCGTATTATAAAAAGGAAAGAAAAAAAGAAAAAGTCGTACAATAACGCGCAACTCTCGAGTGAAAGAAGAAAAGAAATGAAAGAAAAAATGAAACGAAAGAAAAACGAAGAAGTGTAACGCAAATATAGCGGCGTCAGCCTTCGTTGTCACATATGTATGTATGTAGAGCGTGTAGCGTAACCAGGCGGATCGATTTCGTATCGATAAATTGAACGAAAGCTCGGATACAACACGGCTGGAACAGAATTATTCCATCGTGATCCCTCCTGTTTTCGAATACATGTAGTAACGTAGACGGTTTGTTTCGTCGCCGGCGCGGCGGACATTGTAAAGACAACGACGTTTTTTTTTCTTCGCATTAATATTATTGTAATATGCTGCAATATCTGCGATTATTGTATATATATAAAAAAAAAGATTACGAAATATTAATATAATGCTAAATCAGGGGATCCTGTATATTGTATTACAGTAATATTAATTCTTCTCTGTGTATCGTTACGTTCGGTTCTCGGCAAATTTATTGGTTGGTCTTGCGCGAATTGGTAGCCCCTCCCCACCCGCCCCCAGCGTGACGTACATATTTAATTTACGTAGTTTTTAGCTTTAGGAAATTTTCTTCTTTAGGAAATTCGACACACACTATCGACACACTTGTATATTTTCCATTTTGTCATCGTATCGTCAGATCTATTATTATTATTATTATTATTATTATTATATAGTTTGTTATTGTTTTATATTTTAATGTATTATATTGATTTTGACTCGTAATGCCCGATTGAAATATCATCGTGTTCTCCGTATACTTCGAATCATTCATCTGTCAAGGTTTAATTCGTCAGCGAATATTATTTTATAACCGAGAGAATGGGAGAGAGAGAAATAGAGAGAGAGAAAAAAATAGAGAGAGAAAAATAGAGAGAAAGAGAATATATATATATATATATATATATATATATNACATATTTAATTTACGTAGTTTTTAGCTTTAGGAAATTTTCTTCTTTAGGAAATTCGACACACACTATCGACACACTTGTATATTTTCCATTTTGTCATCGTATCGTCAGATCTATTATTATTATTATTATTATTATTATTATATAGTTTGTTATTGTTTTATATTTTAATGTATTATATTGATTTTGACTCGTAATGCCCGATTGAAATATCATCGTGTTCTCCGTATACTTCGAATCATTCATCTGTCAAGGTTTAATTCGTCAGCGAATATTATTTTATAACCGAGAGAATGGGAGAGAGAGAAATAGAGAGAGAGAAAAAAATAGAGAGAGAAAAATAGAGAGAAAGAGAATATATATATATATATATATATATATATATATAGAGAGAGAGAGAGAGAGAGAGAGAGAGAGAGAGAGAGAGAAAGGAGAGAATGAGATAGAGAGGAAAAATCGAGAGAGAGAGAGAGAGAGAGTGAGATAAAGAGAAAAAATAGAGAGGGAGAAATAGAGCGAGAGTGAAAGAGAGAGAGAGAGAGAGAGAGAGAGAGAGAGAGAGTGGGAAAAAATAAAGAGAGGAAGAGAAAAATGAAAAGAGAAATAGAGAAAGCAAGAAAGTAGAGAGAGAGAGAGAGAAAGAGAGTAAGAGAGAGAGAGAGAGAAATATATATTTAGAGAGAGAAATAGAGAGAGAGTGAATGAGGGAGAGTGAGAGAGAAAGAGTGAGCGACTACATTGCGCACAATTAGCAAAGTGTCATAACGTCGGAAAAAGGAAAAATCAGATTATCTATTCGCCGAGCTTCTCGACGGAATTATTCGGCCTTTTATCACGAAGACACTTCGGAGG